CGAATTCAGTGCCACGTATCCAATTGCAACAGCAATTGGATACGTGGCGCTGAATTCGCATTTCGCATTGTGGTCGTTTAGGTTAATTCTGTGATCCTGGAAGAAACTTTTTTCGGAAATGTGACAGAGCGAAAAGGCGACGAACCTGAGGAGCGTGATTGTGTTTTGAGTTGGACGAACCGTTGGCCATCTGTGATCGAATAATTGGATGCAACAAAGCTTGAGAATGATAGCTGATCTGCGGCATCTGCCAGTGGAAAACCTTAAATTGACAACTATTTCAGTCACACCATTTGATGCGTTCATATTCATTCCAAACCTTACGCGTTGTGTGAGCGACAACGTATTCGCGCACTACCGAAATGACTGATAAGGCGATGTGAAGAATGAAATGTTGAGATGGAATTTTGAAGCAACATCAAGTAAGGTGACGTATTAAGGTGAAATATAATATCATTCAAACGAAAGACCTTAGTCGATTCAACGGCTAGTGAGAATAACACGAACGGCGACGCGATCGAACGAGCAGCAACCTCGCAAAAACTCTGCGTGAATACTCCACCCAATTTAACGGCTATCGAGAATAGCCATCGTACATCGTCAGCATAGGCTGGATTCTGAAATGCACATGTGAAGTGCTTGAACGAATCTCTCACGGAAAACATTCATGAGTACATCCAGTGGCGCAGTAGCCAGGATTTTTGCCGATGGTGAGGTACAAATTGGTTTGGTCGAGAAAACAGTTGAAATTTGAGGCGCCTTTTTCAGTATTTATTTTTCTTCCTTATCCAATCCATTCTTTCTTACTCGGCGGATCTTTTCCCGAAACCGTCTCCGTCCGTCACCTTCACACTTCTCATTCCCTCTTCGTTTTCCTTTTCTTGCAACCTGCCCGCTGTTGAAATCTCTTAGATTGATATTGATGGTACGGTATTTCTCAATTCATATCAGTAAGCTGAATAAACAAACCTGTGAAAATTTGGCGTAACTTCGATTATCGTCATGATTTCGGTTACCCATCGTTTCCAGTGCCTTCATACCGACACGATGCGCATGCACCAACTTCACCATTCTTGGATCACCCACTATCATACCGCCACTCACTGATGGTGCGATTGTGTTGGTTATATTCGGTTGATGATGGATGAAGGTTACAATGGAATTTGGTGGAGGATGCGATACTGGTGGAGCTGTGTTTAGCGGATTACCGTGATGCATTTGAGCGTTAGTGGCTGAGCTGATTGCAGCGCCACACGGTGGCGGTGGCGTGGAAAGCAACTGGGGACAGTTCTGAATCATCGATGGACCAGATGTAGCGATATTTTGATGGTGATGTAGCGTTGAGAGAGCCGGAGCTCCACTCAGCGATGGCACAGACATCTGAATGATAATCAGTTCTAGTTAGGTTGCGTCCACGATGAAGTAGGTGAGCTTTTTATGCGGTGGTTA